ACACCATTCAAACCCGTGTTTATCCCTTTGTGGGATTTCATCAAGGCATTCCTTCTGATCTCGAAAAGGATCAGTTTCTGGACCCCCATGTGGTGAATGTGGTTATCCTCGACGACTTAATGTCGACAGCGAGCAAAGATCCACACATTACAGATCTGTTTACAGAAGGAAGTCATCATCGTATTCTCTCAGTGATAGCCTTGAACCAGAATTTGTATTTCAGTAAGGATCCCACACAACGAAGAAACTGCCATTATCTGCTTCTGTTCAACAATCCTATCGATCAACAACCCATCATGACTTTGGCGAGGCAAATGTATCCAGATAACACAGACCATTTCATGGAGCCGTTTCAAAGGGCTATCCAGAAACCATATGGCTACTTGTTGGTTGATCTAAAACCACAAACGCCTCCCCATTTGCGACTTTGTCCCAGTGCATTCAGTTGAAAAGGAGACCTCCAAGCTAGGATCATTCAGTCCGAGTTAGACTTTCGGCGTGAGCAGACGTGTGAAGAAAACCTCCAAACCATGCCATCTTGTGATGACTGTGGACTCATGTTTCAAGACGTGCATGATTTGCAAAAACACAGAAGAAACTGGTGTCCTGTAAAGTGTTCAGTGGGTCCACCGGGAATACCCCAAGTTAAAAGGAAGTGGGAGGAAGACGATAACTTCTCTCCTGTGAAGGCACCACGTCCACTGTCAGATTGTGACTATTGTGGTCAAGTGTTTAGCAATAACCACAACTTACAAAGACATTTACACGATAAACAATGTCCTGAAATGGAAAATGATGATGATGATGAATCATTAAACGATGTCACACAAAACAACAGGAAAAGAAATATGGCTGATCTCGAAGAGCAAGGTATAAGAGAAATGTATTCACGTATACGTGAGCTGAATAAAGACTTTTTGGATGAGAAACGACAGCTGTACATGAAAAGAGGTTTAAACGAAGACATGATTCAAGCCAAACTGAACAAATTCATCTGGAGCATGTTTAAAGAGACGTATGCCCGATTTATTACTTATCTGTACCGTATGAAGTGTGGTCCAAAGACACAAGGAATACTGAAACAAGTAGGAGACACAAATAATCTGTATCATGACGTGTTTTCCAATCTGTACCAATATAAGTCTTGGGTCGAAGGCTTGACTGAAGATGATAATGCAGACATAACATCTGATGAATAAGACAAACAGATGTAAAGTAGACTTCTGGGAGAACTCCTATCCCGTAGTTTTACTCGTTTGAAACGGAGCTAATAAAAAAAATGAAATCAGTTTATCTTGTTTTTTGTCATGTATACCTCGTTAGGAAGGGAAAACCACATTAACTTGGTGCGCCTAGTGGAAGCAAGATGATCCCCGGGGAGTTGAGTTGGCAATATGACTGAGATTGACATCCAAGTGAAAATTTACCAGCGCTTTGAGCATGCATGCGGGATGGACTATAGCGTTATATAAGTACCCATATAATCATAATATACACCTATGCATTGTCATTCATACATTTATGATTACTCTTTCATGCTGACACTATACAATTACACCCCATTCCTGATGGAATTTTAGATGAATTCCATGAAAGTTGCATTCCTAAATAGGATGGGAAGCTCACGTACAATCCCCATGACGAAAACGCACATTTCTACAGTCAAAGCTGACACGCCCTAGCTAGTGTTGATTCTAACGAGCATGTAGCATTTTATTTATGGATGTTTTTGGTTTTAAAATACATCAAGTATTGTGTTATCATGATGCATTCATTCAATACAAAATCATACTATTTAGTTTGAGAGTAGGGAGTAATTCATGGGCTGATCATCATATTAACATAGGTTGTTTACACTCGCGAGAAATCTCCAGGCTAACTGGCGACAGAAACTCCCTCCCCCTGCCACAGCAGTGCCCCCGCCCTCATCATCGGCCATGTGGGTCACCAGATCCCGTCTCTGCTAGCACTGTGTGAGAGAGAGCGTTTTGCACGACACAATCCCAAATATAACATATGTTATATTTACATGGAAGTGCATATCAGTCTCATGTTTTTTGATGGTTGATTAATTCAATACAATCACAAAAATATGGGATTTGGGTATAACATCTCAATATCATCCTTGAGCTTCCCCCCATTGGATACACTGGGATAGTATGGAATTTGAAACAATCACAAACATATGTTGGCATTACAAGGCAGGATACAATGACAATATGGATTGGATATTCAAATATGGATTGTGAATACCGGTAAGTTTGAAATACATTTGAAATTATATTTAGTTGGGTTGTTTTGGTGATGGTCAAGACAAACTCAAACCATTTTCATGTGGCAATGAACGCTGATTGCATTTAACAAATGTGTTATAAAACCCTTGAACTGAACCCGTATAATTTCTTTTACACATATGTGTGCACATGTTAGACTAGACTAATGTTTAGTCTCTGAATATATAATTTTGATAGTAACTTATTTAAATTGAAAAGGAGCCCCGGAAGACTTGGGGGGAGGGGGGGGGGGATTTTGACTTCATTTAGAGCCTTAGCACTGCAGGGAGGGCTAGGCTGTAGGGAAAACAATATGGTTCAGGGACCGTGAGACAAGCTAATATGTTAGACCAACGATTTTTGAGTACAACTTGAGGAGGTATCATATTGCACCTTGGCTGAGTGAGACGAGGGAAGTGTGTGGAGGCTGCCAGTGTAATTCACCATGCCTCAACCGAGCACGCTTTGACATTTGAGATAACAGATTTTCTCCACAGGCGACAGAAAAGGTTATTGAGTTATTGAGTATGGAAAATATAAACATTTTGTAAAAAGACATGTAGTTAGTGATAACCTCAACTCACTGTCAGAGGGGGTTTATATAGGTAGAATTGAAACCGGATAAAACTAGTTTGTGGTCAGGGGTCAAGTGAGTTCGATAGTTGCTCTGCGCTGATTGGTCCAAAATAATGGCGTGATGTCATGGTGTGATGCTATGATGTGTCATCCGTTTGATGCTCATGATGTGTCATCCGATCCGTTCCCACGGGGTACGCGGTCATTGACCCCAGTCAGTGTGAGTCACACCGGATCCGTTTCCCACGGGGGTACGCGGTCACCTAGGAAAAGTACTACACCTTGCCTTTCATAAAAGTCATACAGGTTTTGTAGTGTATCATTTTCTCATTTGAGTGCATTATAACCATAGTGTGTGGTAGGCAGATAAACTCCAAACATGTAGATAACTGGCATGTCTTTTCATTTCAGTTCTATCCAATAATCCGTGAACTGTAATTTGCATGTGGGACCAGTGATAACTTCATCATTATAGCTCTGATCTAGCTTCAGGTGTTGGCGATCTATAGCTCGTGTTTTATAGTGTATTGTCTTCTTTAATTAAAATGTTTTAGTTTTACATGCCAGTTTTATATTCATAAATGTGATACTCTAGTAATTTTCTGTCCATCGTCGACGGGTTTTACTCTTCACAATGTTTTCATCTTTATTGTATAAATTGTTTTCGTCATAATATGGCTGAGACATTGCCGATGTGACGTTAAATATTAACTTACTCACTCATTCATCATAATAGCTACTCCGGCTTTCCCAAAGTATGAATCTTGGGGAACATCAGTTTCATATATTACATATGACATGTAGTTTGATGGAAGCTATCCGTAAACCTGTTACAGTTTTCTAATAGCTTATGCTCCGTTATCAGGGTACTATCCACATAGTGACAGTCAATAATCTCACATAGTGAAAGAGCTGATGACATTATTCCATGTACGTTCCACGTCAAGAGGCTAGTGTTGGATCATTTACCATTATGATCAGTAGAAAATGCAAGAAGACTGCTTTGAGTGGCATTTATAAGTTGGTGTGATGGACAACGGGGAGAGTTACATGAAAATACAACTTCTTTATTATTAACATGAGTGAGTGAGTGAGTTATTATTAAGCGTCACATCGGCAATATTTCAGCCATATCGTGACGAGAACATATGTGGCATTGAAATGGAATAGATGTATATTATAAAAACCTGTCGACGAAGGACAGTAAAACAACTAGAATATCACAATTACAACTAAAACTAGTGTGGAAAAACTAAACCTAATAGCACTATTTGGGCAATACAATATAAAACCTGGCTATAGATCGCCATCAACTGAAGGTAGATCACCAAACTAGGGACCATGGGGACTTACAGTACTTTTGCTACTATTATTAACATGAGCGACGTTTTGGTCGAGATACTGACACCGTTATCAAGGAGGTGTTAGTAGCTACACCAAAACGTCGCGCATATCAATAATAACGAATTTGTTTATCCATGGAACTCTCCCCGTTGTTAATAATAAATTTGTCTTAGATAGGTACATTTTAAATGCGAGACCTTAAGCGACCATCTGTCAGTTTTATCGTATTTCATTGCAGCTGTTTATCTGTAGATATCATGTCATGAAGTGTTGAAGCATTACATACAGCAATGAAACATGCCACGCTTGCCATATTACCCAACTATTTCCAAATAATAAATATCATATTTCACGTTTTATGTTCACGATACGTTAACATCACTCCGTCAGTTTTACTTGCAACATGACACTTTCTGAAAACAGAAAATGTCAATTGATATAGAGAGCAATGGTGATCCTGCTGCAGTACCAGAACGCGTATGTTAATTAATCGTAGTATGGGCCGCGTAATCGAGTATAGACGATCTAAGGCGAATAATGCAGTTTACCAATCAGTTGGAGGCGGAATACTGTAATCATCGGACTGTGATTGGTTGTTATAACAAACTGGCAAGTATTACCCTGAGAAATGAGGAAGAAATCATTCCTAGTTTCAGGGGCGTCTGATCATGTGATTCCATCGATATAGGATTTGTGTTCGTGCATTAAGCAACTTAACACCCCTTTTCGTAAGTGGACAGCCCTATTGCTATACTTCTATATATGGGAACTTCAACTGTGATGAATCAGTAAGGCGTTTGTTCCACATTAAAGTACAGCGATGGAACGTCCTACGCTTGCCATTTTAGCAGTTATGCTTGTGTTCGGCCTTGCAAGATGCGAAGACTACTCTCGTTTCCTTGTCGACATCGTTGAACCAACAGGTGTCGCTGTTGTAAAGACCACCATGGCCACTGTTAACAGCATCTTGCAAGAAACAGCCGGTGTTGATTTCATCTTCAAGGTTGGATTTAATTTGATACATTTGCTCAAAATGCATTGTGTGGATTCAGGAGTATTCAAATAATTACATTTCTTATGCATTATCAAATGAAGAATAACGAAAACAAACGATGATGAAGAGGTACACTGTTAGCACGACAAGTCGAAACTAATTGTGTACAAGGGATTCAACTCCACCCTGATATAGTTCATACTTTCCTATTGTTATTTGCAGATGACATTGTTTTGTTCTCAAGCACGATTAATGGCTTACAGAATTAATGAACTTGAAAGTTACTGCGTTAAATGGAAATTAATTGTAAATAGAAAAAACCCGAAAATTGTTGTATTCAAAAATGGAGATACATTGTCTAAAAAGGAAAACTGGTTATATAACGGTATGAAGCTGGAGTGTATTGGCTTTTATAAAAGTTTGGTGCTGTATTACACCAGTGGCCTGTCATGGACGAGGCATGTAAAATATGCAGCGTTACAGGGACAAAAAGCATTTATTGGAATTATGAAACAGTTGAGTGTACTTGGTAATATTAAATACTCTTTATTCTTTATTATATTTGATGCCAAAGTCAGTCCAATTTTATCATATTGGGCCGAAATTTGGGGAATAACAAAATTTGATGAAATTGAAAAAAATCCTTTTATACGAATGCAAAAAAATCATCGGAGTTAAAATGAACACTATCAACGCAGTGATTTATGGTGAATGCGGTAGGTATCCAATGCACATTTGTACAAGCATTAAAGTGATTAAGTACTGGATAAAACTGTTGATTATGCCTTCAAATCGCTTACCCAAGACGTGTTATAATATGATGTTGTTATATGATATAATGGACAAAAGAACTGGGCAACTAATGTAAAAAGCTTTCTATTGAAAGAGGCAGATATATGAATGTAAAAAGAGAAAATAGATTATGTACACTTTGTAATTTAAACGAAATAGAAGATGAATTATATTTCCTCCTAATATGTCCATTTTATGACCGGTTGCGAACCAAATATATTAAAAGATATTACTATGTCCATCAAAATGTGATAAAATTCCCCTCACTGTTAAGTAGTAAAAATCCAGTTCTTCTACAAAAGATTTCAATGTTCATTTACCATGCTATGATTACCCGATCTAATTTCCTCTCAAATGTAACATAACTTTATGTACTATAGGCCTGTGACCTTTTCAGTGCAAATAAAGATTATTATTATTATGATATAACCCAACTGTGTAAATTGATGTGTATTTGTGTCTTTTTACAGGTGGTTGGTGAACCAAGAGTATTAGCAAGTAAGTACACACTTGACAGTCTACCTTAAAACAGCTTCTGTTGATTAGTCAGGGGTCCCATCCACGGTTCCAGCAGAGTTCCTTTAGGATGTAGGAGGGCGATTGTAACTACATAGACTGTTTTATAGATCCTGAAATACATTTGGAAGTCATAGATCCTGTATTGTGTCACAACAAACAACGACCATAAGCTACCATCTTTCAGTTTGATTGTATTTCATTGCAGCTGTTTGTGTTGTGCTAAACGATATCATGTCATGAAGTGTTGAAGCATTACATACAACGATGAAATATGCCACGCTTCCCATATTACCCAACTATTTCCAAAAAATAAATAATCTAAACAAAGTACCTAGTTTGCCTTCAGGTGTGTGTGTCTGTGTGTGTGTGTGTGTGTGTGTGTGTGTGTGTGTGTGTGTGTGTGTGTGTGTGTGTGTGTGTGTGTGAGAGAGTGAGTGAGTGAGTGATTAAAAGCCACACTGAGCAATATATTGTTGATAACAGGAAAACAGATTTGTCCGCAGGCAATTGGTGTAATAAAATGATCTTGTCTTTTCGTCTGTTATTTGGCCTGCTAAGCTCAGGTCGAAGTGTATTCCCTTATGTGTAGGTTGATAGTCCTATGGTAAGGAATGCACATATTCAAAATTGCCGAATATACAGGCAACTTGGGATATCGGACAACCACCGTCCCCACCTCTTCTATCCAATTTGTATTGCCGATGTAACGTTAAATTTTAACTCACTCACTATCCAATTTGACATTTTGTATCTTCACCAAATACTCTCTGTGAGTTTCATTTCTGAGTGTTTGATGTGTGGCACATCACAACAGTAGCTGCAATCAATTCAATGGGTGCTTTTTTGTCCGTACTGAAGGTCAGTAGGCGGCTGTACTGTACACGCTATAATATTTCATCAATACCTTTTGAAAGCTGTTTACATTGACGATCATGGTTGTATCAACACAACGATTTGTTGACACGTGCAAATTATTCTTTGTGAAATAACACAAAGGGGTTGTAAATGAAGAAATTGATTTGAGAGATACAAAAGACATTTCATGAACCCATAGTTTCTCTTTTCGCTGTTCAAGACTAACCAAAGACTTACCATATTATAGTTACATGACACGGGATCTCTCTTAAGCATGAACTCTCTATAACTACTTTCCAGTTCTGAATATACCCAACCTGTGCGATATGCGTCGTCTCGAAGATAAGTTGTTGGGCGATAATCTGGACATCACTGTGAAATCTCTTTTCCTGGGTGAAAAACTTGCAGCTGATCTGGGGGTGAACAAAACCCTTATTGCAAGTGCCCCGCCTCCAGCGAACCTAACTGGAGACCACATTTACTTTTGGGATGTAGTTTTCAGAATGGAAGGTAAAACCTGTTTTGATTTTTACCATATAAAGATGCGATGTTGCGATACATAGGCAAACATCGTGTCCTAAACGAACATTGATGTCATGGTGTTTCTTTTTGAAAATAACTCTTCAACCTCAAGAGTAATTATACAACCAATATTTTTTGAGTCATCGTATGTACTTGTGTATATCAGATCTAACTAGGGAAGAATACAAAGAGGAAATACGAGACAATCTGGAGGAGAGCCTCAAGTACAGACTGGACAATCACCGGAATCTCATATACAAAGTTCTCGGACAGTTTCCTATTCAGGTAAATTGGGGAGTAATAAGAGTATGTTTGTCTCTTCTGGATCGTTGCCAATTGCTTTCATTTACTGCTTTGCCTGTTCCAAGCTCAATTATATACGAACCGGAACATGATATAAACAGAACATGACAAAAAGCAATACTCATGTGCATATTCTGTGGCTGATCTTCGACGATATATTGAAAACATCTTATGTGTCCATTATTTAATTGGTGGCATTCCAATGAACGAATTAATAATGAAATAATTATTAACCTCGTCTTAACCACCTCATCGTGTCTATTAAGTGAAGAAAAGTTCGCCATGATGGTTTTATGTTTGCAGATGCTATATTTTGCACCATTGAAACCAGAGGATGCTGAAATTCTTAACTGGCACTTCATCCGCTGGAAACTGATTTTCACAGCAAAGGTGATCCTGGTTCAGTACCTAGACGTCTATCTTAACGGCTGTCAGTAACAGTCTGTACTTTTTGCAATAAAGAACTCAATATCACAGACCTTTAGATTGACATTTAATAAGACTTTTTTTCTTTATGTTTTTATTGTTCCCAAGGGTACATAGTTACACACCAATTCACATTATCTGACTTTTGACACACAGAGTTCAAAATTACCGAATATAGAGTCTAGATTTATTGCTAAATTGGGAATATAGATCCCCATTTTGTGTCATGATTGTGAAGGCTATTATCATTAATTGCAATGAACTTTTCCACATTGAAAATTTCTCTCAAAACAAACAGGAACCTTTGAAGTTTTGGAATATGTAGGTTAATCCCACATAAATGGATATTTTTGGGGGCAGTTAGGATAATATGATTTAATAATGTATCACTGTATAATGTTCCAAACCAAACAAGGTATTCTGTTAGTTTAATTCTTTTTCTACAATATGATCTCTGGCTAGCTGGTTTCAAAGCTTCACAAAAAGTTACAGTGTCAACCATTCTTAATCTACCATTATTGTAGACTCTTTTCAAATTGTTCCTTTTCATTTTATCAGGTTTGTCCTTTCATATAAATTTGAAAAAGATATTCTCCAATGAAGTAGTGAACTCTTTTGGGGATTAGGCAGAGTATTGAATATATGAACACGTTTTGACATAGCCAAAGTTTTTATGACAGTTATTTTGCCAATCAGTGTCAAGTGTCTTTTCCTGCATTGTGAAATTGTGAAAGTAATCTATTTATCTCATCTAATCTTTTTCTTGTATTGATTATAGTTATCAGCATGTTATACAGGCTTCATAACAAAGTTCAAGGAGATGGACATTGAATTCATAAAGAAGTGATGCTATGGCTGTACCAGATTTGTTTGAAATAGTGTTCCAGGCACACTGATTATGAAGGGGGTAGCTGTGGCAAAACTGATGTATAAAATCAGATATAATTTATCTGACTTGAGCTATACAAGCTGCTTCAAGAATGGCACAATATTTACCGAAGAAAGTAAACTTCATTGTTGTATGCCAGTGATACATAGAGTCAGATATAGTTAATCTGATTGTTTGAGATGCAAAGTTCAAGAAAGGCACATATGGCTATAGGCTAATAGTATACCAAAAGGCCAATAGTATACACAATCAGATGTAATTTGTCTGATTAGAGTACAAACATGTTTGAGTTGAGTTGAGATGGGCTTTACGTCACATCGGCATTATTCCAGCCATATAGAGACGAGATCAACTTTCCATTCATTACCATTTTAAGTCCAAGGTCCAAAAGAGTTATATTTCACAAACATACACCACACAAAATGACTGTATTACCCAGATTTACTAACATTAGGAAATATACGTTTCATCCGGCGGCCATATGAACAAACGTTTGAAATCTACGTATCATCTGGCTGTCAGATTTACACACGTTTAAAGGGGTGTTAAAATAAACGAACACTCAACTCTGTATTTACGTGTATTTCACAGGTGTGTAAATCTGGCCATTGTTTTCATGTGTTTTCTAGCATGTGTAACATATGTAAATGCTGTGATTGTAGGACATGCATTTAAATACCTTTGAAATCTCGTATGACCAGGGTTAGGTTTGTCATATATTTATAACACGCGTAAATGGTTGGTAATGGGTAAATATAGTGTTACAAGATTAACACTACTTTAACATGCGTAGGACCACGCCATAATGCACGGAGATCATTAGAAACACGTGGCGAAGTGATATCCATGACTGAACATCACTATTAACGTGCCTGCCTTTCTTGACACACACACATGATGTCTGTTTAAAAGGTTCAAATAGTAGTATTGGGTCTATGGGCCAGAGCGACATGTATGTTAGGGAGTGTGTGCATGTGTGTGAGAGGGAGAGGGTGTGGGATAGGGTAGGCCTAGGATGGGGTGGTGGCGGTGGGGTACTGATAAGCCTTTCTTATCAGTAGGTAATACCGTTTATACTTTTTGCAATCGAAATTACATTATAGTTTAAATAACTGACCTTAGGTACACTTCTTATATATGACATACAAGGAGAGACTGCTTATTGCACAGACAGGTGTGTTCACACAGACATGAACCGGTAGGTCCCTAATTTTAGTGCACACTTTTATGAGTTATCATACTCATGATCATAGCTATCTATACTTTCAAAAAAGATGATGACAATGTATTAATGATTCCCGATGTAAATTACTGTAACAGTTGTAAATGTGTTAATATGCACATACTTGGTATTAGAACTATGTTTCGTAGCTTAAGTGGGGAGACGATTTATATCTTGATACCAGTTTAATGAGGCGAGACGATATATCATGTGTGAGTGAGTTAAAGTTTATGGTTATAGTGGCAATATTTCAGCCATATCGTGACTTAAAATAGTTATAAATTCATTAAAACCTGTTACATTCACACACACACACACACAGAGATAGAGATAGAGATAGAGAGAGAGAGAGAGAGAGAGAGAGAGAGAGAGAGAGAGAGAGAGAGAGAGAGAGAGAGAGAGAGAGAGAGAGAGAGAGAGCTCTTGATCTAATAAAATTTCAGCATTTCATGTTGAAGAAGGTTCAGTCAAACATATTCACCATGCCTCAAAATAAATTTGAAACTGAAGTTTCCTTTGGGAAGTTGTGTTTCTACACCAATTCTTTCACTAACAATTCAATGTAATTTATATCACAATTCAGAATCACTGAAAAAAACTCTTAAGTCTGCTCTCAAAATTGTATCTTATCTTTGTTCTCTTTCAAAACAAAGCTAAGGCATCATTCATAGTTGTGAATAAATGGTGTTATTTGTCAAACAACTAAAACATATTTCAATTACCTGAAGACTCGTATTGTACAGTTCACAGTGATTGAAACATGTTCACACTCTTTCACTTCTACGCCAAGTCCTTTGTTCATGTAACAGATACAAACAAATTCCTATAAGGCTCAATTTGATTTTAAATTTCAGAAGGGTTTCAAAGAGACTCCCTTCCTATTCCTAATGCAATACTCCTCACAACTTTAAGTAGTACTAGTACTTAAGTAGTACCAGGATATATCGTCTCTTGTGGCGATACATCGATGTATCATGGACCCTCGCGATATAAATATCCTGATGTATTGCCTAAATGTGTTTTGTATTGATGCATTCATATCGCATAGCTGACTATGCAAACATCGATACTATCGATGAATCGTTACAGCGCTACTTGGGATGGGTTCTTTTTTATTCGGAATACAGATATTGTCCCATACAGACGTTTTCTCCAATTTCAGTTACCCGACGGAATATACTGTACACCTATTTTGATTCCATCTCTGGGGTAGATTATAGAAAACTCTAGTGACTGCAATTAGTTCATAAACTTAGATAAATAAGCAGTTTCTGTAATTATCGAAAGCTTACTACCTGACATCATTTATGTTGCTCATGCGTTTTTAATTTTTGCTCTTTGCTGTCTGATTTGTTATACATTATATAATAATGTTAATCATTTTGGCATGCCAATATCATGGAATATAATGTAAACTTATTAACCTATCAAAGTACCGAAACGTATTATCTGTATGCTTTACTGTTTTTGGGTGAAACTGTTAAATGTACCTCCGTACAAAATTTCCAGAAAATAATAGAAACTGAAAATTGCTAAATAAATGGAAAACTAAACAGGGTAAAGATTGCAAACAGTTATTATTTATATACCTGTTTTAAATTACCAGTGTGCAGATCATGTCACAAACATATAAACTGAAGGATGGGTATGCAAAGAGTGGGGGAAAACACGTGCAAAGTCTCTGAGTCAACTGAGATTATCCTTCAAAAACATATGTACATTTAACAATCACTTATCATTAAATGCAAACAAAGCATTACAAAAACGCTATATTTCCAGACAGTATAACATCACCTTTGGCCGGAGTTCCAAATATTTGATACCGAAAGCCTGTCAGTTAACCCAAAGGAAAATAAAGTTGTGTTTTACAATGATCTTAATCATAGTCACAATGAAGAATAGGTTGCCATGTGTTTTCCAGTATGATTAAGTCAGTGAAATGCTAATATTTACCAAACAAAATTCTAAAGGAGCCTTTCTTCAAGCTGTGACTTAAAGCCATACATAGCTAGACTTGCGTAGATTATAGACTTCATATAAGGCATCATAGATATTTCACAAACATGGTACAGGACCCTTAGACCCATTAGCGTATTGCCTCACCACTTGCGAATTAAGCGTTGGCAGATGTAAATGTTACTGAAGATGTTGGTCCCCGCCAGCCATGGATGTTTGGTATGTTTACTCTGTAACCCGAACCCTGCAGTGAGTTTTTCTGCAGATTATAACAAACGCTGAACCTGGGAATATCTAGATATGCTTCATTAAGGGCGTAAGCATTACAGTAAGGGCTGGGCGGAAGGGGAAATAATATCGGCCTGTGACTATGATACAGCAGAGACCATATAATAGACTATTATATGGTCTCTGGATACAGATTGGGAAAAGACATGGAAAACAAAATATTTTACATGTAATTCACATGATGGAAACAAATGATCATCCTGCTTGAGCACAGGTAACATGAAGGTGTATAAACCGTTCATATACATACCCCTGAAATCCGGTATAATACATAAATATCTAAGGTGTGTAAACATTTGCAAATTTGAAAATTTACATGTGTTTCCCCACCTACGTAAATTTACATGTTTCCAACCTGAGTAAACTTAGAACGAAATCGGAAATTTCAGCACCAATTGAAATTCAAAGGAATGCATTGGAAATACTGTATGATCATGTATTTACTGGGGTATCTGTTTTGTTTCAATTCCAACTCATGTTTGGAAATACTTGACAATCCGGTCATTGCATACATGAACGAGGCACTTGTGCATACGAAAATGAGCATATGTTTCAAATGTATAGATTCATATGAAATATATGCCCGAAGTTAGGAAATATCTGAAAACATACGTAAATCCGGTCATGGCATGTATTTCCTACTGTATTTACGATTATTTCAATGGTTTGTTATCCGGCTTTTGGTCCTGTTATATATATTCATTACATTTCTATTTCAAAA